TTTTTTCTGTGTTTTCTTTGGTCTGTCTCTCAATCCTTTGAAGATAGCTAAATATAATTCTTTTGAATTCCTTATCAGAGAGTTCCAATGCTGCTTCTTCCTTAGGGATGTATTCGGGGTCTGTATCCTGCTCCCTTGTTTCTACCACTTTATCCTGCTTCTTTGTGTGGACTGTGATGGCCTGTTGTTTCCAAGGCATCGTGACGTTGTTGTGTGTAGATCTCTGTTAACTGTGAAGAGCAGCCAAGGGTGATTCAGGCTCTTGTTGGTGGTTTTTTATCCTTGGCCCGTTGGTTGAGAAGGAGGAAGTGGCTCTCGCTCAGTAAGTGAAGTCGCAGGAGGTGTGGGTGTAGTTGTGTCTTTTGAGGACTGTTGTTGTCTCCCACTCAGTTAGACACAAATTACAATTGAATAACCATCAAAAAACTAAAATCCCATGGACGAAAAACACACCATGTAATCACACAGGAACAGAAACCAGAAAAAGAAAAAAGGGGAAAAAAGAAGAAAATAGGGAAGGAGAATAATAAATGAAGAAAAAAATAGGAAGAATGCAAAAAGGACAACAAGGAATGGGGTTAGTCATGAGAAAAAGGGGGAAAAGAAAAAAAAAAAAAAACCTTAAATTGTGTGTGGGGAATTTCAACCAGGCACAGGGAAAAGAAAAAATGCTGAAAACTATGACCTGGTAGGGGCAAATTAAGAATAATAATTAAAGGGACAAAAGTATCCATAATATTAGTTGGTTTAAAACAGACAAATACAAGCAAACTAATCACCGGGAAAAATAAAGCGAAAAAGAAAAAAAAAAAAAAAAGAGAGAGAATAATTAAAGGGACAAAAGTATTAATAATATTAGTTGGTTTAAAACAGACAAATACAAGCAAACTAATCACCGGGAAAAATAAAGCGAAAAAGAAAAAAAAAAAAAAAAGAGAGAGACAAAAAAGAAAAAATCGGTGGAGAACAGGGTATGGCACCCAGGTTCTGTCTGAGCACAGAGACTGTGATGGAGTTCCTGTTGGCCCAGAAGGTAGGTGGGAGTGGGGATGGCCACACCTCCATTCACCAAGTGGGTGTAGGGTATAGTAACAAAAAGAATGTTGTACTTTTTCAGTTTTGCAGGCCCCGAGTGTCCTTGGGGTTTTTGGAAAGCAGAATGCGTTCTTAAGCCCCAGAAATCTGCGAGAGCGCTGTCTGTTTAAATATCCAAAATAGTCAAGCCGCTTTTTAAACCTTCAAAATAGCTGCATCCTCCAGACCGGCAAAAGTCCACAGCTCACCCCACCTTTCTCTTTACCTTCTCCGTTTGTTTCCCAGTCACCGTGCACAGTCCTCCATGCAGTCCCTGGCTAGCAGGATGATTTTTAGGTTAATTCTTAAGTCCTACCACCACAGGAATCTGTGAGAGCGCTGTCTCTTTAAATATCCAAAATAGTCAAGCCGCTTTTTAAACCTACAAAATGGTGGCGCCCTCTGGACCAGCAAAAGTCCACAGCTCAGTCCACCTTTCTCTTCACCTTCTCTGTTTGTTCCCCAGCCACCGTGCACAGTCCATACGGTCCCTGGCTAGCAGGGTGATTTTTACGTTAATTCTTAGGTCCTACCACCACTCGGGAATCTCCAAGCTGTCTGTGCCGTCAGGGTCGCTCAGGATGGCTGCCAGACCGCAGCTCTGTCTGTCTCCTTTTTTGGTATTTTCACACAAATTCTTCCGCTAGTTGGGGTTTAGTCCACTTCTGTATCCTTCCCTTCAAGGCTCAGGGGTCCAAGATTATCTTCTGTGTTTGTGTTCATTGGTTTCCCTTTTCTTTGTTGAAGAGGGTCTGTGCAGTCCTTCTGCTTAGTCCGCCATCTTGCCGGAACCCAAGAGTATTTTTCTTGTTACCTTTCCCAAAGATCCCTAGATAATTAACCTCTCTGTGCTTCTAGATTAGTCTGGTTATGTCTAGTAAACCTACGTTCACAGCTTCTGTTAGAATATTAAAAGTTAAAATTTGAGATAAATGGACAAACACTTAGAGAAATGTAGACGATATAAACCTTTTTTTCTCGTTGTTAAGGTTCTCTAGATAACTGACTATTCATGACTTTAGAAGAGAGATCTTCTGTAACTGGGATATCTTAAGAACATCTCTTGAATGACTTATTCAGATTCTTAAGCAGCTTTTAAAGATCTTTTTCATTTATGTGTTTAGAAAAAATTGAAGTTTGAAAGTATTCTGATTTTCTTTGAAATGTATAATCATTTTTATAAGCTTTTTTTTAATTTTTGGGAAAAGAGTCATACAACCATTTTCCCACAATAGCTTTTTAGTGGCCGGGAGATGGAACTCTTACTTGAACTGAAATCTTTTGTGGTTCTTCGAATAGTCTTATGATTTCTTCACCCTAGTGTAGTAATTGATCCATCCAAATCAACAAATTGGCATCAAATAGTAGTTTAGGACACTCTTTGGGCGAAAAAATGATAGAAAATACTTTATTCTAGACTTCTGTGCTCTGTCTTTCTTCTCAGCTTTGTTCTTTGTCCTTTTTAGAACCTTTTTTAAACCTGTTGGCTTCTGGTAAACTAATGTCTTCTACTTATCTTTTTCTGCTATCAGTCTTCTTTTAATTTAGGGGGATAGTTTGAAAGGTAGGAGCTCTGGTAGCATAGTGCCTAATGCACTTGACTGCTAACCAGAAGGCTGGCAGTTCAAACCCACCAGCCACTCCTCGGAAGGAAGGTTGGGCAATCCGCTTCTGTAGTGATACCGCCTCGGAAACCCAAGGTGAAGTCACTATGAGTCAGGTCCAACTCCACGGCACATAACAACAACAACAGTTTGCAAGGTAATTGTTTTACTATAAAAACATGCTACTTTTATTTTATTTCTGAATTCATAGTACTATTTTAGAAATATCCTAAGTACCATATACATTTGAATTCCATTAAAAAAACTCAACCATATTGTATATTTTCTCTTTCACTTTTGGTTGATTAGAACTGTAGGCCCAGAATATATCAGGAAATTAAGATTCCATTATAAAGTCATGTAAGTTTAAAATTATTCTTTAGTATAGTGGCTAAGGTATTTGACTGCTGACCAGAAGGCTGGCGGTTCAAACCCACTAGCCACTCCTCAGTAGGAAGACTAGACAATCTATTTCCATAGATATACTACTTTGGAAACCCAAGGAGGGGTCACTATGACTTGGGATCAATTCGACAGCAGTGAGTGAGTGTGTCAAAATTATAGTCAGGCTGTGCCACCAGTGATTATAAAAACATTCAAGATCCAAATGATACCATTTTGACATTGGTTTTGCTTATTCATAATTGTTCTGTTATCAATTTTTAGGTATGGAATTGTTTGAAGAGGCATTGCGTCGATGGGAACAAGCTCTAACTTTTCGTAATAGACAGGTTGAAGATGAAGCAAGCTGTAGTTCCATTAAATTGGGTGCAGGAGATGCTATTGCTGAAGAAAATGTAGATGTAAGGGTAATTTATTTTAGAGTGGACTTCATAATATTAGAAGAATCAGTGTACTTGCTTTCTGTGGCATTTAGTAGAACTTTCTTCCCCTTTTAGGATTATGTGATGTTTCTCTTTTCTTTTTCTTTTTTGTTCACTTTGCAGTTAAACACCAAATTTGCAATTAATCGTCAGGTTTCTTAGGATATAGGGAATATATAAACATGATTTTCTATAGGAATTTTTCAAAGTCTTTTCTATACTTTAGGTTTAATTAAGTGCCAATATATTCATAAAAATCACATAGAAGTAGAACTGGAAGTTTCCTTATTAATCCTCTAGGCCAGTAGTTCTCAAAGTTGAGTGTGCATCAGAATCCCTAGAAGGCTTGTTAAAACATAGATCTCAGGGCCTCATCCCCAGGGTTGCTGGTTCAGTAGCTCTGGGATGGATCATGAGATCTTGAATTTCTAACAAATTTCCAGGTGCTGCTGGGGCTGCTCTTTTAGGGACTACACTTTGAGAACTTTTCAGTTTCACAGATAAAGAAATGAAATCCCTGTGAATTGAGATGATTTTACAAAGATGCATATAGAAACTAGGTCTCATGACTTCTATGGCAGAATTCTGTCCACTGCCCAACACTAATTTTTTTTAAATGCATTTTATTGAAATATAATTTATGTGTAATGAAATATACAAAAGTAAAGTGACATGGGTCAATGCATTCTTTTTTTTTTTTCAGTGTTCCTTCCCCTTCCCTCCCACCCCTGGCAACCAACAAAGTTTCCCTCCATATATAAACCTTTCCTTGACCCTTCACAGCAATGAACGGATACTATATTTGTCTTTCTGTGATTTACTTATTTCACTCAGCATAATGTCCTTCAAGTTCATCCACGTTATGCACCAACACTTAATTTTTTATGTTCTTCTTTTTCCCTGTCTTTCATTTAAAAATGGGAAATACTTAGAATTTTAACATTAGAATCTAATATTTGCTCTGCATACTTTTTCCTCTCCTTGTAGGATATTATTAGTGCTGAATTTATCCATAAGCTTGAAGCTCTGCTGCAAAGAGCGTATCGTCTTCAAGAGGAATTTGAAGCCACCCTTGGGGCATCTGATCCTAATTCACTTGCTAATGATATTGGTGAGATGGATATTTAAATGATTTTTATGAAATATGTGCATTTAAAGTGTATGATTTTCTTCTTTTATTTTCTTGCAATCTTTTGCTTAAATGTTTTATGTTTTACTAGGTTACATATGTTTAGAAAAGAGCAAGGAAAAAAAATCATTTATTTTTTTAAAATAAATTCTGTTTTTAAATTCAGTTTTAATTTTAAGTGAACTTAATGTCTTTAAGATATTAATTTAAGTATTTATAGTAGGTAGGATTGTGACATGCTTGTTATCAAGATACGTCTTTTTAAGCCAAAGACATGCAATAATGATGTTCATCAATTTACTTTAAAAATATACTCTAAAACTATCTCAGTGGAAATACTGGAGGAAGGAAAAAAAATTAATTCTAATATTAAAATGAGACAGAGATGTACCACCTCAGAAAACTGTATGTAGCTAATAACATGCATTTAAACTATTTTAAAAAAATTAAACTTCTTAGATCTAATTTTAATTGCATGTTAGCTTTTGATGTAGGTAAGCAATACATATTAGATATCACTACCTTTGTTTCCTGTTTTTAAGAGAAAAGAACTTTGAAAAGACTTCTTAAGTGAAATCTTAGAAGAAATGAATGATTACAGTTGTTTCCTGGACTCCTCTAAATGCACCCAAAGAATGAAATAAGGCAAAATTATTATATTACCTCTTTCTTTGTTAAGGGAGCTCTGGTAGCATAGTGGCTAAGACACTTGCCTGCTAACCAGACAGCTGGTGGTTCAAACCCACCAGCCACTCCTCGGAAGGAAGGTCGGGCAAGCCTACTTCCATAGTGATACTGCCTCAGAAACCCAAGGAGGGGTCGCTATGAGTCGGGCCTATTTCTTTGTTAAAGATAATTGTTTTTTTATCTTGAGAATTGTTGCTTTCCAATAAAGAAAAGAATATTCATTTTTTTCATGTTTATTTCTGAACTTAATGTGCTGAACGTGGCTGCATTTTTAGATGTTTATATCTCTATGTAAAGCCAGGAACCCAGACAGAGGAGCAGTCAACCGAAGGGATCCAGGTGAGGAGAGGAACTCAGGCATGCCCAAAGCAGCAGTGCAAGAGAGCAGGGAAAAGGGGATTAAAAGCCAGGAATTTGGACAGAGGAGCAGTCAGCCAGAGGGATCCCTTGAGGAGAGGGAAATCAGGCATGCCCAAAGCAGCAGGGCAGGAGAACAGAAAAAAGGGGATTAAAAGGCCTACAAATCTGGACAGAGGAGGAGTCAGTCGCAGGGACTCAGGTAAGGGTGGTAGGAGAGGTTTCCAACAGGGAGACAAACTTGTCTGTTGGTTTGTCCTACCATG